CAGCTCTCTCCCTCTGCAGGGCAGCAGCTTCCTGCCTGCCCGTGGCCTGTCAAGGTCACACGCCTGCAACCATGCAGGCCTCTCTTAGCAAACCTGTCCCTTCTGGGGCAGCTCTTCCTGCCTGCTCATGTCTATGCAAGTGTCTTTAACTGTTTTATCCCTTCCCTACTAAACCTGCCCTTAAAATAAAATGAACATCTCTGTCTCATGGAGAAACTCGCCTGGGAAATTCGATACGTGTCGCTGAAACGGGAACTCTGGTGAAAACTTTGCCAGAGTGAACCAAAGGACCCTGTACTCTATACCCACAGACTCCAAAACCCACAACATTGTCATCTATTGTCCTGCAGAATATGAACAACTTTTAAACCTAGCAATCTTGTCCCAAAATTCTTTGTTCAGTTCTATAAAATCGAAATTCCTTATGTTATAGAGCAACCCCGATATTAAACGGGTTCCTGGCTGTGGGTCCTCACCCGCGCGCTTTAAAGGGACTTATGAATACTCTACTACAGACACACGCAAAAGGGTTAATAAAAGGTTTATTTACAAGAGAAAAAGAAATAAGGAGAATGTACAACTCAGGGAGAAAATAGGGAAATAAAGTCTTTAATGCGTCCTACCCGATCCGACGACCTGGAAACCCCAAAGTCACTCTCAGAGCTAGACGGACGCCGCGAGCTGGCCGAGGGCCCCAAAATGGAGAGCCCCCCAAAGCCCACGTGTCTGCCTTTTGTATCCACCTGGCTGCTTAACCCCACCCTCAGGTCCCAGCCACCTTCCCTTTGGTGGTGATGGGATTTGGAGTTCCCAGTGTCTTTGGCTTTGACCTGGGGTGGGGGTGGAGTCCACAAAGCCTGTATGGAATTTGCTTTGGGACTGCCTTTTCCCCCTAACACTTAAATATTCTTTTAACTGACTTTTACTATCCTGCTGGTTCCCTCATTGAGTTAAATGAAACTTTGATATATGTTTATTTTAAACTTTTCTGGGTACAATTTTTATTGAACTATATAATTTGTGAGCATATTTTAGATTATTTTGGGGTGTAATTTATTCTCTTTTGAGGAATAATTTTGAAAATATTTTTCGCTATATTTTACTTTAAGTCCAAAAACCATCTCTTCCCATCATTCTGACAGTTTCAGCAGCTTTGTCTCTTTCACAAATCTGTGAAGGTTTTAGATTTCCATTATCAGTCTGGACAAACAGTTCTTGTGTTTATGTGGCGTGCACCAATTTCCAAGTTCACCATCCTCAACTCAGAATGTTAGAGCTCAATGGGATTCCCCACCTTCCTTAGTTAAAAAGTTAAAGCTGAGAGTGGAAGATAATAAGTGGTTTAAATAGATACAATATAAGTAGTGTAATTTATTTTCTGTTTAAATATAGACATACTTCTTCATGTCAGTATATCTACTTTACATATGTTTGTATCTTGGATTATAGAGTCCAAGGATATATTGGCCATATGTGTAATTTTTTCCCCTTGCATCTTTGATGCTTTCCTAGAGGTGATTGGGTGTCTTGCAAGTGCTTTTTGATGGGGATGAAACAAAGGAAGAAATGTTCCTGGAAGCAGACATTCTGGAAATTGCCGGAGAAAGCTGTTTGGAGGTCAGAAGGTGACCATTCCTCTGTATGAAACTGCTTTAAAGAAATCCCCTTCCCTGGGGGAATGATTCAGCATATCCCGCCTTTAAGCTCCATCCAGATGCTTCCCTGAGGCTCTGCATGTGGAGGAATTATCAGTGTCACTATCTATGAAAATTTTTGCTTAGAGCAACAATTTTTGTTACTTTTGGCAGCTATATCTAGCGAATGGCCAGGAAAGGATATGACATAAATTTAACAGTTTAATTCTGAAAACCCCGTGGTTTCATTTCTAGTTAGAGTTTTGCCTTTCCTCTTTGGTCACAACCACTGGATTTCCAGGGGATTATTTCTTCTAACAAATTAAGGAAATTTTCAGAGCCAAATTTCAGATCTTTCCTGAGCTAAAGAAAAAAAAAAAACAATGAAAGGATAGTGCACTTGACTTAGAATAGTGGCAGGGGACACTATGCACAAGAGATGACTATGACTACATTTCCTAACAAAGTAATGCTATTTTTTAAAAGCATCTTTTTTGTTATAGAGGAAAATCTGAGACTTTTATGGAGACTTTACTTGGACATTCTCTTAATCATAATTTTAGCTTTTAGAGGAGATGAGATTAATGAGGTTGAGGTACTAGATTTCATTCTAAAGCAAATTTGGAACCAAAGCTAGAGATGCATGTGCAAAGGCACTTGGCGCAGTCCTCTTCTATGAGCTTCATGGTGTCATAAACTTGACCCAGTTGTCCTTGACTTCTGGCCCCTTGTGATCTAGAGGATAGTATCTCTTGAGCCTCAACTCCTTTTTGTCAAGGTGGGATAATTTTACCATACTCATTGCAACACTATTTGGATAAATAGGATGGTAATAATTGCTAAAATTTTTTGAGAAGTTACAATATGATGGGCACTGTGTTAAAACTTAAAACATATTTTATCATTTGTGCCTCACAACAACCTCTGATATAGGAACCGTTTTTCATCATCTATATTGAAGGAGATCAGAACACAGGTGGTTAAGTTACTTGAACAAATTCTCATAGCTTGTAGGTGATGGAACCAGTGGTCAAATCTGGGCCATCTGGCTTTAGGATGGATGTATCCAGGCACTATATTGTTCCCTACCCAGATAAGTATCTAATACAATAGGAGGTATCAATTAATTTTAATTGGTATCAATTAATTTTAATTGATCTAAACAATTCAGCTGCACATCTAGCCTTTCTGTATAGCCCAAAGACTTTAGCAGCTTAATGCTTTGCTATTAACAATGGTCATTGAAAAATATCTCAATGAAAATTACACATCATTAACATCAAATAGTGCCAACTCTGCTGGCTCGATTGCAACATCTGTATCCCTTCTCTCACTGCCATCCCTTCTAATCATCCCAGTAAATACGGGTCTTCAGTCAGATATGCATTTCTGAGTATCCTTTTTGCTGTTTACAGAATTAGTTGCTTTTCCTTTATTTATCTTCCATTTTTTTTTATTCTTTATATACAGGAAGTAACGCTAGGTTCATCATAAACAGAGGATAAAGCATGCCCAATGTGAAACTTAAATTGAGTGGTCTATGCATAGAACTCAACATGCTTGATAGAATATGCTTTCCTCGTAACCGATATAAATTTACCTAAACTGAGTTATTCTTGAACTTTCTGTTCCCCCTCACAGAAAGCAGCTCCTACACTAAAACCAAATGTCTTACAGTTCAGCTTCTTTTTCCTGAGGATACCTCTTCTTTTCTCCTGGGACTTTCTGAGGAGTTAACACAATGGTTGAGCTGAATCTGCTTTGTGACCACCTAAGAAATGCTGCTATTTTGCAGCCAGTCATTATTATCTACAATGTCCAAGCATTTCAGATACAGTCATAACTAAACATCGCTCCTTCCCACAAGAGGCCTACAGTCTAGGGTAGGGGTACAAAAATTATGGCATGAGCTCAATCTGTAACAGGGTGGTCCTCAGGAAAGGGGGAGGTTCGAGGTTTCCTGCCCTACGTTGGGCACCAAATCTGTTATAGGGCAGGGAGAGGGGCAGACCCTACAAACCTGCCTGCTCTAAATAGGTTCTTCCATCCGCCACAGCAACACAAAACATATGAGACTTTAATGAAAAGGAACTTTAATACAATTAGCAAACAATACAGGAAAGGCAAAGAATATAGTTTCTAAATCAAGCACCCAAAGTTACCCGTCCCCTCATGGATAAAAGTTCACCCAAGCAGGATTGGCCCAGAGCAAGGCCCCAAACCCTGCCACAAGTCTAAAACATCTTCCAGTGGGGACCCACAGAAAAGGATCTGAAACCACCAGACAAGTCTCAGAGGAAAAGAGAAAAATCAAAATCAAGACAAAAACTGCCATTGTCACCTCCCCACGGGTCTCTCACCCACATCTGTGTCATCCAGTCCACGACAAAAAGGCAAGCGCAGTTTATTTACACGGCTCCATGTGCCTCCTCCAGGTCTCCTTCTGGCTCTCCATCCTGCTTCCTTCCTCAGTCTCCTCTGCAGCTGCTTCTCTCTCTGCTCAGCTCCACCCTCCTTTTGGGTGGGGCAGGGAACCTGGAACCTCCCCCTTCCTGGGAACCACCCTGTTACAAATCCACCTGTTTTTGTAAATGAAGATTTAAGGAACACAGAACAGCCATTCATCTAAGGACTGTGGCTGCTTTAACACTACAACAAAGTAGTGGAAACAGAGACTATGGCCTAGAAAGCCTAAATATTTCTTATATGACCTCCTTCAGAAAAATATTTGCCAAATCCTAGGGAACAATTTTATGGGAAGGATTATTTAACTAGCATATTATGTAACTCTTACATTAAACAAGTAAGATTATTGTATATAATCCCAATACAATTTTAGTTTAATATTTATTCAATGGGTAAAGTTATTCTCCTTGCTACATTAAAATTTGAGCTGTTCCTTGATTTAACATATCATTACTAAATAATAAAATTCTACAAATATTTTAAGCTTTAATGTGATCCTCCTTCTAGGTGTCCAATAACATGCAATAGTAAAAATTTCCAGTTTTGTCCACTTACAGTTCTTTCCCTCTGGTTGGCTGCCTACTTCTTGGGAAATGTTTCTTCTGTCAATATCCTCAGGTTTCTATCACTCTGCACAGGAGCTGACTCAGGGTTGGGAGAGTTAAGTTTTGACTTAACTGGCACTGTCACGACGGGGCTCTGTGCTTTCTGAATGTCGGCAGTTGTTGAAAGCTTTTTATCTTGTGGGGCACTTTTGTGGGTTATATGGAGACTCCTCTCCACCCCTGCTTTACTCCAGAGATCCCTTACCTGGGTGGATGTTTCTCTGGTTTAGCCTGTTATTTACTCCTTTGCAGCCTCTAAAATGAGGCGTCGGGCCAATCCTGGTGGTGCAGGCGGTTGAGTGCTGCACTGTGAAGCTGTCCGCAGCCTCTGCAGCACAGGTTCGATTCTGGCCCATTGGCGAGGGTCCCACATGACACCACAGACCTCTCCTGTCTCGTCTGCTGCTCCCCTCAGCAGTATATTTCATCAGTCTGCCTGTTCTGTTCCTGCTCTGTCTCTGGTGAATCTTCTCACACTCCTGCACATCTGTACAAATAAATAAATAAATAAACCTTTAAAAAATAAATAAATAAAATGAGGCATCAATCGTCTTAAGCCAACATAACTGGCTTCCTCTTATCAAATCCAAGGAAATCGATTACAGTCTCCAAGGAGCTGCCTGGAGCCACCTACCTTCAATTTGAGGTGATGTGGGAATGTCAGGACTTCTTGCTTGGGGGGGACCGTCTGGCACAGCTCTCTCCAAAGACATTATTTCCACAAATCCTTCCTCTTTTAATCTACCTTTGATTTACTTTATAGCTTTAAAGTGAGAGAAGGACTTGAGAGTCCCATAACCAGTTTTTTGTAAATTTTTTTCACAACTTTTCTCTTGGAAACGGATACTTACTCTATCTTGATGACTCCATCAAAGCTTCCACTTTCATACACAATACAATTAGATTGAAAACTCTTGAACAAAATATGAAACAGATAAAGTGAAGTTGGATCCAGATCCTATTCGGGTTTCTAAAAAGACAAAGAGAAATGAGGAAAACACCGGCTTTCCATCATGGGGCTGTGAGGCAATTTTGTTTATATATGAAACGTAGGAGTGACTTCATTCTTCTAATAGACTTGGGAAAACACAACCAAGGGGAAGACACTGGGTTAGATTTTGAGGGCAGGATTTCTTTTTAGGACATAGGTAACTCTATATGTCTTCCAACTTATATTCATTTATTCACTTATTTCACTCTTCAACCGATTCCTGCCTTGTCCCCGGGTGCCAGAGTGAATAGCTGTCCTATGTCTCAGCTTAGTTTTATTTTTTTGCTAATATCTTGAATTATTTTTCCCCACCACCATTCCTTGTGTACCCTCGTCCCTTCCCACCCCCACCCCCCGGACTCTTCCCTCTTAGCCTCAGAGTCCTCAGGGTGTTTATTGATGCCCTGTGGTTTTTAAAAGTGTTTTATGTTATTGATTTGACTTCTATGTAAGTGTCCAGTATTTGTTACTGCCATTCTGACTTAATTCTTTACTTACTTAATTATGCTGTGCATAATTCTCTCAAATTCTCTCCATCTTTTTTTTTTGAAATGGCTGCATTTCACCCTTTCTTATGACTATCTAATACTCTATGGTGTATGTATATTTTCTTGATCCAGTCATCCATTGACATGCCTTTAGTCAGCTTCCATGTCCGAGCTATTGTAAATAATGTTGCTATGAACATTGTGAAACATACAGGTTTTTGTTGGTGGTTTCACTTTCTGTGAATATATGCCCAAGAGTGGGATTGCTGGGTTGTATGGTATTTCCATTTTTGTTTTTTTAAGGTAAATCCAGATGGCTTTCCATAATGGTTGAGCCAGTTTATATTTCCACCAATGGCGTAATATAATTCCTTTTTCTCCATGTCCTCTTCAACACCTGTTATTAGGGGTCTCCTTTTTAAGATTTATTTATTTATGCATACAAGAGCTGGGATACAGGCAAGAAGTATGGGGGTAGGGGGTGAGAAGATTCACCAGAGACAGTGGGGAACAGAACAGGCAGATTGACTGAAGCACACTGCTGAAGGGAGCAGCGGGCGAGTCAGGAGAGGTCTGCTGTGCCATGTGTGTTGTTCCCTGGCTGGCCAGGGATTAAACTCGTGCTGCAGAGGCTGTGAATTGCTTCATAGGTTGTGTCTTAACACCTTGCGCCCCCAGGGAGGCTTATTAGGGGTCTTTTTAATATGTGCTATTCTCATAGATGTGAGATGGTATCTCATTGTAGTTTTAATCTGCATCTCTTTTATTAGAAGTGATGATGACATTTTTTCTTATCTTTTGACCTGGATATCCTCCATAGTGAATTGTCTGTTTATATCTACTGCCTGTTTATTAAATGGGTTATTTGTTGTAGAATTGTATGACTTTTTTGTATTTCTTTGATATTAATTCCTTTTAGTTATGTGTTGCATAAATATCTTCTCCCACTAAATAGGTTATCTGTTTAATCATTTTGTATTTTCTTTCACTATAAGGGAAATTTTTAACTTGAGGTAATCCCTCAATTGTTAAAAGGCAGTAATTCCAGAAAATGATGATAAATTAGATGTTGAAGGAAGAGTTAAAGGTGTTCTCAGCCTCTGGTTTGGGCAACTGGGAAAATTTCAATTCCTGCCACTGAGATGCAAAAGAGCAGATTTGTGGGGAAAAGTGTTTATTTCTTTTACTACCGAGGAGTGGAGCTATGAGAAGTAGAAAAAAGATCTTGGGTTGACTTATACTAGACTAACTGAACCAAAATATCCAGAAAGGAGGAAATTCTGAATAAGGCTTAAGTCCTGAACTGGAGTCTGTATTAATTCTGCACACCAATAATTGCTTATTAGAATATGCTTGCTTAATCTTCACTACAGAACAGAAAACTACTGTGGCACTGTTAAGTTACTATCAATTCTTTACTATTAATCTAGGAAGGACACTGATGGTGGGGGAAGTGACATTTAAAAATCAGAGGTAAAGAAAGTGGGGCATACTAACCCCTCTACTTGAAGTCTCTTCCTTTGCATTTTTTTCTATATTCTTTTCATCTGCAAATTGATTTCTCCTTTTATATCCAACATACAATCTAATTCCCTTGAGAGACTGTCAATTACTTAGGTTACCCCCAAATACCCATCTCCTAGGGATAGGCACACAACTTAGGACAACCAATTAGAACACAACTGCCCTTTGAAACTGGTGACTGGTTCAGGAATAAGTGTGTTCCAAGCAGCACCAATAATACTCTTCCCTTTCCTTGCCCTAAGGATGTTGCAAGACAGCAACTGTCTTTTTGCTCAACTTGCTAAGCACTGAGGGGGAGTTTGTGGTTCCTAGGTGGCATTTGTCTCTTCTGGTGAGACCTGGAAACAAATTGTCTCTCTCTTTTTCCTGGTCATGCTAGTCAATAAATGACTCCTTTTAATATTTGTAAAATATAGTTTGAAATTGTTTTTTTTTTTTTTTCATTTTCCAGAATGAAAGCTCTGACAATCTTCCCTAGTGCCCCTATACAAAGTTCTTGGCTCTCTCATTAGCCCCCTACTGCTTCATTGAGACAAAGTCACATACAATACACTTCATCATTTTAATTACAACTCAATAGTTTTAGTATGTTCATGGAGTTACACAGCAATGATCATGATCTGATTTTAGAATATTGTCTGTTTCCCAAAAAGCAGTCCAAATACATATCAGCAGTCACCCCCCCATTGTCTCCATTGGCAGCTACTCATCTACTCTACGTCTCTGTGGATTTTTCTATTATGGACATTTCATACAAATGGAATCATACAATATGTGGTCTTTGTGTCTGGTTTCATTTAGCATGACTTTTTCAAAGTTCTTCCATCTTGCAGCATGTATCATTACATCATTCCATTTTATAGCCAAATAATATTCCATATTTTTGTTATCTATGCATCAGTTGATGGACATTTGGATGACTGCCATTTTTTGACTATTATTACCAATGCTACTATGAATATTTGTTTACACATTTTTGTGTGGCCATATGCTTTTAATTCTTTTGGGTAAATATCTGGGAGTAGAATTGCTGAATCAAATGGTAACTCTAAATTTAACCATTTGAGAAACTGCCAAAATATTTTCCAAAGTTGATGTATCGTTTTATATTCCCTTCAGTAATGTATAAGGAGTAAAAATGCTTTTCTCCACATTTTCATCAACAATTATTATTTGTCTTTTTGATTATGTCATCCTAGTGGATGTGAAATGACATCTCATCGTGGATTTAATTTGCATTTCCCTAGTGGCTAAAGATGTCAAGCATCTTTTCATGTGCTTATGGGCCATTTGTAAATCTTTTATTGCAGAAATGTTTATTTTAAATCTTTACCCATTTTTAAACTGTGTTTTTTTTATTGTTGGGTTGTAATAATTCTTCATATATTCTGAATACTTAATGAATACATGGTTTGCAAATATGTTGTATTATGCTGGTTGCTTTTTTGCTTTATTTGTGGTGTTCCATGAAGGACAAAAGCCTTACATTTTGATGAAGTTCAATTTATCTTTCTTTTGACACTTGTGCTTTTGATATTGTATCTGTGAAACCATTGCCTAACCCAAGATCACACAGATTTACACTTGGGCTTTCTTCTAAGTGTTTCATATAGTTTTAGCTCTAAGATCCATATGAGTCCATTTTTTTACCCTGCTGCATTTTGCATTCCCATTTTTTTTACTTTCTCTATTGTGCTGTGACCCTAAGTATATTTTTCCAAACAATGTTAATAAATATGGGCCACCAAAAAATACTTTGAGCTTAAGTAAATTTGGGAAATTCTGCATAGAAAGAGGGTTCTTGAAGATTCACAGTATGTATGTGTTCATTAAAGACTCAAAGTAGAAGTAATACCACAGTCTGGGGATGCTGTTATCTCCACCCTCCCCCCAGATGCTTCATCAGGAATGAGGAATTCATTGCCCTAGCTGATGGGAATGGGCCTGGGAGACACCCCACACCTCTTGGCCCCTTTGGGGATTGACTCAGCTGAACAGAGCTAACTTGTTCAAGGTCATACACACTTCTCAGGATGGAGCACATCCAAAAATTGATTGGCATGGGGAGGAAGGTCTGGTTGCCTTATCCCAACTCAGGACAACTTTGAAATGTCATCTCATCCTCAAAATCCCTGCAGGGTCGACTGAGGTTGCCTCTAAGACTACACTGTCTCAACTCTCTATCTGTCCAATTCTGCTTTCCTCCCAACTCCTCAGGTATTTATAAGAGGCTGCCCTAAGTTTCCTCTTCCATGTAAAAGTATATCTCCACATCTGATTCTAGGAGAACCCAATATCTGACAAAAAGAATTTCCCAAACATATTAGAACATGGGATATTAAATTCTGTGAAACACCTGTCTCCTAGAGAACTATCACAGAACACAAATTTGGGAAATGCAATCAATACTGCAAAACATGACTTGCAACCAGAAAAACTGGTGTGAATTCAAGCTTGTCTATTGATGAGCTGTTTAATCTTGATCATGTAGCCTACTCTGCTGGGTTATAGTTTAGCATCAATAAAATGAGCAAAGTAGAACCCATCCCACAGAAATGAGAGAGTACCTCACATAGTGCCTAGTTGATCTGTTTAAAAGAGCTTCCAAGAGAGCAGGATTTTTTGCCTGTTTTATATACTGTTGTATCTTCAAGTGCCTTGAAGAGTACCTGGCACACAGTAAAGATTTGATAATTGTTTGAATTAATCAAATAAATGGCACACATCAAATCCTTTTACAGAGGTATGTTTTCAGTCCATATTATTGAATAGATCACAGTCATGTGTGAAAAGGAATAAATGAGGATTAGGTTCAGTACAAATTTTGACACAACTATGTGCTGACCTTTTCCACTTATTGATTAGGAAGTCATAAAAATATTGGCACCATAAATCCTGAGATTTCTTGGGCAATGTCCCATAAACCTTTAAGTATAACCCCCAGTTTGTATTGCTGACCTTTCTTGTAATTTTTGGGATAGATAATATTCCCAAGCACATAAATTAAAAAGTCACTTGCACTGAAACTTGTATAGATTATAACAAGCTTCATAAAGTCCTAATAAAATGATTTTTAAAGGCTTATTAAAGTTGTAAAACATCTTGAATGTTATTGAGAAGTATCAAAGTGTCATGCCATTTTTCTCTGTTGTAGCATGAATAGAATAAAGAAATTCAACTTAGTACACCCCAAGGCTTATGTTACTAGGAGTAATTTCCTGCTGGTAGTGACTTTGGAAAGCAAGCATGAAAAAAATCCCCCAAAGCGGCAATGTTTGTGTTGTGTGTTAGATATGATTATGCTGAAAGATACTGTCTCTTCCCATCATTCAGCCAACATAGGAACAGGATCTTGTCTACAGTAACCTTGTAGATTCAAGAGAGATTTGGGGGCATGACACTTGCCTCTCAGGCAATATCCAGTGGAAGAGAATACACCATCACAAACTCTGAAGAATTTGAGTAAGAAAAGATCCACATGGGGAAAGCCAATCAAGCAGAAAAGGGACGAAGAGGAAGATGATAATTGTCTCTGGAGCTTAGAAAGCTACCTTGAGGAAAGTATCGCCTGAATTATATCTTGAAGCCTAAAACTAGTTTCTGATGGATATGGATGTGTCATTAAGACATTCTAGGAAAGCAACAGCACAAAGCTGAAAAACTATCAAAAACTGGACAAAAAGCTATAGAGATGGGTGATGAGACTGAAAAAGATTGTGATGGGAATTACAGATTTAGGAACTCTTTATTACTCTGTTGGTCTATGTTAGACATTATCTTCTATAGTTCCCATGTGGTATTTCATGCCCTACGTCCTCAGCCAAATTTTAAACTTCTTGAGGGCAAATATAAAATCATGCAGAAATAGCTTATCTGACAATTGTACTTCTAGCAACTTTACCTCTCTGGAATGAAATCTTAAATGTCAAAATGAATGAAAATTAGAGGGTGGGAGTAGGTTCAAATTAAATGAACCAATCAGGTTCAAGCTCTGCTGTTGTCACTCAATCTTCAGTTTATTATTCAGATTGAGAATGGAAAGCAAGACGATTGCTGCTAAATGGCCCAATCAGATACTTAGGATTGAAAATGGTCCAATCAGGCTTGTAGGGTGGGATACCCTGAAGAGAAAATAAGAGAGTGCAAGAGCCAGTTTGAGTGAATCAGAAACGGACCTGCAAAGAGAGAAGGATACATCAGACCACCTTCAAAGAGGAAGGGTTCATCAGAACATCTTCAAAGAAAGATTCAGCAGATCATCTCCAAAGGGAGAGAAGCATTGAGCAGACAACTCTGTGGGATTCACCAGCTCTCCATAAACTATGAGGCCTCCACAGATCATAGACTGCACCTAACTCTGACATCACTTGCAAGGAGCACAGGCTGCCCAGTGTCTCAGAGATCTGTTCACTATTGGTGTATGCCACCAGCTCACAAGAGCAGTTCACAGCCTTTGGTTCTCTGGCACCACCTCCTGGTGCTGTCGAGTCCATAGCTCTCTGGTCCAGCCTCTTGCCCAGACTTTTGCTATGACTGTGCCTGTGACTGTGAGCTTCTGTCTGCAGTATCACCTCTTCTTCCACAAGTGGCCTTTGGGATTCTGGACCCCACAGACACTGTCTGGGGTGAGACAGCCACTTACAGCCTTAGAAACTCTTTTGTTTTCCTCAGTCTTCCGTTAAATAAATTTTGATGTTGTTGGACCCTAAGCCTGAGTAATCTTGTAATTGTGCACCCAGCTGATAACCCACTGACAATGACCTGTCCACCACCTTGGGCACTGTCCCTTGGCCCTGTCTTGAGTACTGTTCTCAGTGCTGGCTATGGCACTGTCATAGCACTGTGTGTACTGTCTTTGCACTCTTTAATTCTACTTATATAAAGTATATAAAGTATAAAATTTAGCAAAATTAATATAAACTTGTCATAACTCCTGGCAGTAATTACCCTTGGATGGATGGTGCCTAGAAAGAGGTTCCAGGGCCTCTGGAGATTATTGTTTCTTGATTTGAGGGCTTGTTCCATAGGTGTCCATTTGTGAAAATGTATTATATTTCATATTTATGATAAATGTCTATATAGTGTACTGTAATGAATAGTTAAAAAAAATTTATAAACTTCTAGTAAACATAAATAAATGGGGAGAGATTAAAATCATCTGAATTCTATTACCAATGGACATTATAAACATTTCTACTACATATTTCCTTTTAGTTCCCCATGTCTTTATATTTTTAAACATCAGTGGAAGCACCAGGATTATTTCTAGAAGGACATGGAACTGAGGCAATTAAACCAGAATGTGCCTACCTAAAAGAAGAACCCTACCGAAAAGAAGACAATGTGTAGGAAACATCTTTCGCCGTTCTGTGGATTATCATCAAAGTCAAATTTCAAAATTGAATTATGGAAGGTACAGCAAAAAGAATGAGAAAAGGCCCTAAATTTCTTCAGACTGGAGGGGTTCAGGATAGTCATTCAAGTTGTCCTACACAAAAGACAGCATTGGAAACATAATGTAACATGATCACAATACAGGTGACATATCACATTCTTTTACAATTCCTTGAGGGACCATATCCGATTATTTCCCACTATATCCACAGAGTCTAGCACTGTTCTCAGCACAAAGAAGGTACTGAACAAAAAATTTATAAATGAATGAATGAGTGTTCAGCGAAGAACCACCTGGTAGTAAGTTCTGTATCACTGTAACTTATTTAGTTAATTCCTTATTTTTAGATGATTAAGAATTCTTTTTTCTTGGGCTTCCCTGGTGGTGCAAGGGTTAAGTATTAGCACTATGAAGCTATCCACAGCCTCTGCAGCATGAATTCCATCAGCCAGGTAGCTAACCCACATGGTGCTGCAGACCTCTCCCGTCTTGCCAGCTGCTCACCTCAGCAGTGTATTTCAGTCAATCTGCCTGTTCTGCTCCTCACTCTCTGGTGAATCCTCTCACTCCCCGCACGTTTAACCTATACTCCAGCTCTTGTGTGCATAAATAAATAAATCTTTTTTAAAAAAAGAATTCTTTTTTCTCCTTTGAGCAATACTGTCATCAGAAACCTTTATCAGTCAATACTTTCACCCAGCTAAAACCTTGTTACAATGGCTTAAATACACAGGACTTACTCTCTTTTGCAAAGGAACTCCAGATGTGGACAGTTCTATGAAGTCATTAAGGATACAGTCTCCTTCTACCTTTCTGCTCCACCATCCTCAGCATGCAGCTTCCATCCTCAAGGTTATGAGATGACCACTAGAGGGGCAAACATGACAGCAGAATTTCCACCAGTAAGCAGAGGATCCAAATTGATTATCTTCCAAAGGTTACTAAAAAAAACCTTCAAATGTTATTCAACAAAAGCAAATGCAAGGAGTGGCCAAACTTTTCAAATGATTCATTAAGTATATTGTAGGGTAAGGAAGAATGTCAGGCTTTTCTGCCCTCCCGCCATCAGGATAGATGATGGATCCTTGTGGTCCTGCATGCATGCCTGATGGCAGCCACCTGGAATAGGGTGTGGGCCTAGGTAGATGGGATTCACCTGGGCTGAGACTGGGCTTTTAAGGGTGGTGTCACGGGGACGCCAGCAGAAGCCAAGAAGCCAAGAACGAACAGAAGCCGAGAGAGAAGCAGAGAACGTCGGAGAGCCCAGATAGAGTGAAGACTTGCTGGAGGCTGGGAGGCCTACCAGCCTCCCGGCCCCCCAGTACCCCTGCCTGCTGTGTACCTGGTAATCCCTATAAAAGACCTGCAAAAAACCACTGAGGACTCTGACTCCTCCTTTACCCGGTCTGCTGGATCCTAGAAAACCTGCACAGTGTCCTGTTCCTGACTCTACATATATCTTTCAAATGAGTTCCAGAAAAAGAATCTTTTCCATACACCAAGATTTACCACTTTATAATAAGTAGTATCTCAGCCATCAAGAGGTAAACTCAATGAACAACCAACCTCCAGCATGAAAAAGACACAAGACATGCCACTTCCATTACTTCTGGCAGCATTCAACAGGGGATGTTCAGAACATCCCCTGTTGAATGCTGCCAGAAGTAATGTTAAGCTGAGCTGACATAGCTCTGTAGAAAGGAAAACTGAGTTTATATCTGGATTGGAATGAAGCAGCCCATTTTGTTTTTAGATCTCAGTTACCTTTTGATTCCCACTGAGGACAGGGTGCTGGCCAATTTGCCACCTTTGTTTTCACTATGGTAGCCCTTCCCTGGAGCTGTGGATTCTATTTCTGTGAGGTTTTCCAAATGTGCTCCAGACTAGTACCAACCAAGTTCAGGAACAACACAATTCACTGATCCCAGAGGGAATTCCTCCTGTTGCAGGCTTTACAGATGTGAGGCTGCTGGTCAGTGAGAGTTAGGTTTCCACTGGAAAAGCAAGCTGGAGATCTTTTTTTCTCTGTGTTTTTTTTAGCAGTAAAGTTTGGTCACAATGAGTAAATGCTATCGGGGACACTATTTTTTTCCCTGTTTTTTCTCACATCAGCCAACAAGAAAGAAAAAGAACTGCAGGATGAATGGAAGGTTCACAAAGACATTTAATTTTTCAAAATTTTCTAAAGCAGACTACAAATCAATCTAACTGATTCCAGTTGTGGGGTGAGTCTAGGTTTGGACATTCTCCACCAAACAGACTGGGCAAAGTTTTAGCCAAGTCTCCATATGGTAGGTGTTCAATGCATAGTTTTTGATGTATTGATTGAGTCCTCTTGTGCCAGATTAAACAGTTTCCAAGGTGAAAGAAATAATTACGGCTTGTTCTTTTCTTGTGCTCAATGTATACAATATTCCGTAGGTCTCTGGAACTTGCCTGAATATCTTCCAGTATAATCAAATAATTGATGGCTCCCCACTGAAAGAATGGAGAAGGAAAGTAGAAAATATAATTTCTTTGATTTGATTCTCAGGCACTAATTAATTTCCCTAGATTCCATGAGTTCTCCTGCCTCCTTGTTACCTGTACCTCACTTTATCTAGGAAGCCCTTACTTTCACAAATAAATATCTATCTCCTATAAGCCAGCATTCTTAAAAGGAACACTATATGCAGATATATACTAAAAGCATATTGAGTAACTGAAACATTTGGAAAATGTAAGAACCAGGTTTACAGACTTAATTGCCATAAAAGAATAAAAAGTATCTCATCAAGCTCAGGAAGGGAACCACCATCCCTCCTGCCAATCTGGAGCCTACATCTTGCCCTGCCATGCTGGCTGACAGTGGCTCCTCCTCTGCTCCCTGGAATCCTACTCAATTACCCAAATTACCACTTATTCAATTACTCAATTACCATTTCAGCAAGAGTGGTGGCTTGCATTCTTCCACTTTGCAGGAGCAGCTCTGTCTTCAAGGCCCAGTGTGGAAGTGTCTGAGGGGTGAGGTCAAGGTCACATGCCCACACTCTTAAGTGTGCACTTGAGAACATGCTGTTCTCTAGGGTCTTATTACTTAGAGTATGGTCCACAGAGGAAAACATTGTAGCAGCAGGGATGGGCATGGAACAGGTTCTCTATGATTTGAGCAGACCGGTGAAGGAGAGAGTCCTGGAGCCCTCGGTGGCTTTTGCAGACTTTTATTGGGATTTACCAGGTACACAGCAGGCAGGGGTACCTGGGGGCCAGGAGGCTGGCAGGCCTCCTAGCCCCCACACATCTTCACTCTTTTCTGGGCTCTCCAGCCTTCTCTCGTGGCCTTTACTTCTCTGCTCTTTTCACTCTTCTGCTCTGTTCTTTTTACTCTTTGCTGGAAGCTCTTTCTCGTGGTTCTGCTCTGCTCTCCTGGCGTCCCTGTGAGGCCGCCCTTATAAACCCCGTTTTAGCCCAGGTGTACCCACTTACAGAGGCCCACACCCTACTCCAGGTGTCCGCCATCAGGCACGTGTTCAGGACTGCAGATCCGTCATCAATCCTAATAGCAGGAGGGCAGAAAAGCCCGAAACTTTTTTACCTCACCCTACACATATGTCTGGCATTGTCTACCTCCCCACTGAGTTTCAAGAGTTTGGGGGTGGGGCTTCTCCTTACACAGGAAGGGCTCAATGCCAAGTTGCTAAGAAGAATGACAAATGTCCACACACTCCTTAACCAGATACTGCAACTCTGTCTTTATGTGTCTGTCTTCCTTGGTCTGTTAACTCCTGCAGGAAGCAATAAGGGTTGCCCAGGGAAAGAAAGCTAAGAAGAGTGAACTGGAAAAGGGATAAGAAAAGAGTATTGTGATGGAAACTGAGGAAGGAAAGAGAGTGGGCCCCACATAGCTCTAGTGAGCTCCTGGGGATCTAGTGAACTCTTGGGATCTAGTGAACTCTTGGGGATGGGGGCTGGGATTCTGCATTTCTAACAAGTTCTGACACTCACTGATGTTCGCAGCTATATTAGGAAGAGTAAAGTACAGCATGTCATTACAGTCGTGCATCACTAAATGACAGGTGTACATTCTGAGAAATGCATCAATAAGCAATTTTGTCATTGTGCTAATAGCATATGACTTCTGTAACCTCTTCATCCTTGGAAAATGTCTTGAAATAATGGACCAACTTCTTAGTTGTCTTCTTCCAGATGCCACTCTTATACTCCTTAGTGACATCACCCCAAATCTAGCAAGGTTCTTGATGCAGTCAGAGTATTCTTATTCTTCCAGTGCTGTGTCAATGTCTTCTTAGCGTCTTCCTCAATGGCAGCAATGGCCTGGGCAAAGGGCCTCTTCAAGTTGCATGCCTTAAAAGCTGCTGCAACTCCTTGACTGGGTCATGGTTATGTGGTGCATGATGAACTGCAAACTAAGAGAGCAATTAAATAAATCATAGTGCCATGGAGATCATCTGAGGGGAAATTCCTGAGATTCAGGAGTTGTGGATAAGAAGACTTAAGTAGACAAGTGCGCAGGAGTTAATTGGATAGAGGGTAGGCAGATGCCTGTGTTGGGTCCCTTTGCATGCTAGACCAAAGGTGACCAATTGTTGCAATTTGCCCAGGGCTATCTTGTTTTTATTTTTTTAAAGATTTATTTATTTATGCATACAAGAACTGGGATACAGGCCAGAGGTGTTGGGGTGAGAGGACTCACCAGAGACAGAGTGGGGAGCAGAACAGGCATGTTGACTGAAATACATTGCTGAGGGGAGCAGTGGGCGAGACAGGAGAGGTCTGATGTGCCATGTGTGTAGCTCCCTGGCTAGGGATTGAACTCCTCAGACAGCTTCATAGTTTGTGTCTTAACCCCTTGCGCCAGCAAGGTGGCCCCTATTTTGGTTTTTGTATGGAAGGACTTGCTTGCATCCTGGGAGTGAGTATCACATTTTTGGGTAGTGTTTCTCCTGTAACGCTAAGCCAAAATCACACAATAACTTCAGGCTATTACTTGTCAGATTGACCAACTTTACATTTTGTGAAGGGTGTCCATTTCATTTGTGGTCTTAGTAATAACTTAGAAAGGAAGCTGTAGGGTAAGGAAAAATGTCAGGCTTTTCTGCCCTCCCGCCATCAGGATAGATGATGGATCCTTGTGGTCCTGAATGCAAGCCTGATGGCGGGCACCTGGAATAGAGTGTGGGCATAGGTAGATGGGATTCACCTGGGCTGAGACTGGGCTTTTAAAGGCGGTGTCACGGGGACGCCAGCAGAAGCCGAAGCAGAAGCTGAGAGAGAAGCAAGAGAAGCAGAAGCCGGGAGAAGGCTGGAGAGCCCAGAGTGAAGACCTGCCCAGAGTGAGAGCCCAGAGTGAAGAGCCCAGAGTGAAGGCCTCCCAGCCCCCCAGCACCCCTGCCTGCCATATGCCTGGTGAACCCCAATAAAAAACCTGCAAAAACCACTGAGGACTCTGACTCCTCCTTTACCTGGTCTGCATGGGATCAGAGAACCTGCCCCATGTCCAGTCCTGCCCCTACAGAAGCCATGAAGGTTCAGATAAGGCAATTCTGTTTTTCTTAATATTACTATGATATCAATCGTCACATCACAGTTTTACAGTAATACTTATTGAGCAGTCTTTCATTGCCCAGAAAAATTAGAATTTCTATATATATATATTCTAATACCGTTTGTGAAATGTCAGAAGCACAGTTGCAGCCCATAGAAAAGCAAATCTTAGTGTTTCTTGAACCACATTACCACATTTCAGCAAATCAGATGGACCATGTTATTGCAAAAAAGTCTGAATTAAACTGAGCTACAGGATTCGGTCATATCCTCTGGGTCAAAGCCTAGGGCACAGATTCCATAAACAGCCTTGCTCTTTACCT